AGGGGAGGGAGATGCAGCATCGATCCAGCGCCCCGACGCCCGTGTTGCATTGCGTGAGAAGTTTCCGTATGACCCAGCGGTCACCTTCGCTGCTAAGCGAACTTCACACGCTCACATATCATTACGCCGAAGGGTGTACTCAGAACGGTCTATCCTATCCCAGTGAGATCCTTGAGTAGAGTAGGCCTGTGCTTGTTGATCTCAGGTAATCCGAGTCTGCAATACAGTCGCACCACCCGCTGATGAATACTGAGTGTCTGGGATAGAGTACTAGTGGTCCGCGACAATGTTACTTCTCAAGTTTGCATCAGACGCCCCATCATTCTCGGGAAGTTGACGCCAACGACGGAAGCAAAGATGATGAGGGTTGCGCGTCTTTTGGGGAGTGCCTGACGAAAAACGGAGCGATGTCTCAATGGGGACATTATTTTTAAAACAAAGCATGTCGATATATTTCCAATACGTCATTGTATTTACGAAGGCAGATAAAGTGTTTTGGTTGACGTAATGTGACTCAGAATATGTAGTGAGAGATGGTAAGACAAATACTAAAGGATGTGGAGTGAAGCGATAATGAAATATTTGAATAAATTATCTCATTTTACTGGAGATAATGAGCGAAATAATGAAAATCCTAGTTAGGATAGCCGGTATCCCAGCCAAGGTTCGCACATTGCTCTGTGGGTGGGTTGGGGTATTATAACCTGGGTATCATATGGAAACAAGCGGACAGATCCATGCACCGATCGCTTTAATACGGTAACAACAATTGGGCATCCGACGGACAGGAGGCTGGGAGAGCCACTGAGACGACTCAGCGGCTGGCACGGAAAGAAAGTACCTGCTCTTGCAGGGAACTGAACCCAGTTCCTCCATGCCAGAATCAGTTACTCTTAATTACTGAGCACACCACTTAAGGTACCCGTTTTTGTTATTAGTATGTTGCATAAGCACAGAATATAAATATTGATTGGATTTTGTAAGGCATGATAATAGATGTTTTCATAAATATCTTCATGTTGATGAGCCCTTCTTGAGGAGTGGCCACTTGTGCAGCTACTCAAGAACTTCCCAGCATTTTATGGAACCCAAAGATTCATTACCATGTTCACAAGGGCCCCCCTATCCTGAGCCAGATTGATCCAGCCCATACCACCCCATTTCTCTCTCTCTCTCTCTCTAAGATTCATTTTAATATTGTTCACCCACCAAAGTCTTGAGCTTCCTAGTGGTTTTTTTCCTTCTGTCCTTCCCACTAATATCCTATATACATTCCTCTTCACCCCATTAGTGTTACATTCCTTGTCTATCCCATCCTCCTTGACTTGATCCTTTTAATTATACTTGGAGAAGCGTACAATTTATGAAGCACCTCATTATGCAGTTTTCTCCAACATTCGGTCAGGTCATCTCTCTTCTGTCCAAATATTGTCTTCAAAACCCTGTTCTCAAACACCTTCAGTCTATGTTCCTCCCTTAATGTCAGAGACCAAGTTTCACACCCATACAGAGCCACAGGCAAAATTATAATTTTGTTCTAATTTTTATTTATTTATTTTTTATTTTTTGCCAGCAGACGGGAAGACGAAAGCTACTGGATTGAATGCTAACAAGCATTACCCGAAGATGGTCTCTTATATCTATGCAATTCTCCCTTTCTATTTTCTAAACAATCGGACTCGTTTTCTCAGATTTCCATGAGGCTGAGTATGTAACGATATGTATATATGTATGTATGTACGTCGAATGGTGGTTAGTACGACACTCTCAATTTCCCTGGCTTTTATCGAGCGCTGCTCAGGAAAGAAAAACAACCAGCAAGCTATAGATTTTGTTGCAGAGCTGTTCAGAACATTCCTGGAGCATTTGCCTGCAAAATTATATGAGCACACAATGATATCAAAGTTTCGTCCCATAGATTCTTGAAACATCATTTCAGTGAAGACCTGTCTTCTTATAATTTAGATGGGAGAATAATCAAAATGACACGATAGATTTGTCTACGAACACGACAGACACTCGTTATCTTGAATCCCAGTCTATCCGTGTCCACGAAGGATAACTAATTACACAGCCCTGAATTCTCGATGGATGCTTAATTTTAAGATGAAATCCTTCTGTTCGCCTCGAAAGGAATGCCGGAATCCGATGAGAACCTAGCACGTACACTCGACCGCGGAAGGAGAGGGGCTTGAACCAATGATTCTTTAAAGCGGCAGAAAACTGACGAGGGACACGAACTGTGTTCGGATTTGTTCACTGCAGCAAGAAGCCAATGCACAAACACGAAGACTGTTACTGCAGCCGTTAGCTATGAGCAAATTTCCAAGCTGATAAATATATACACCGTTCCAGGAAGGAAGATCAGTAAATATATACACCGTTCCAGGAAGGAAGATCAGTAAATATATACACCGTTCCAGGAAGGAAGATCAGTATTCTGGGAGTCATGGCATCGGTCATTCTAGGAAAAAGAGTCTATATATACATGTGTACTATTCTGAACGGTTTCCGAGATGAGGTTATTTCACTGTATGGTTCCAAAATTATTGATAAGATAGAGATATTACGTACTGTTTCTAATACCGGTATTTATTATAACAAATTTGGTACAGTTTACCTGGTATAATACATTTTCAGAAACTCCACCGTCAACATCAGCGCACTTTGCAACTCATGTGAGGACAACATACAGCGTACAGCATGTCAGGCATGTCAGCATATTCAGCATTTGTGAAGATGTGCGGCATTTTTCACAACGCTCCTCCAGTGTTACTATCAATAGTCACAACGGCCAACTCACACTTCACACCGATTCACATGCGAGGGAAGGACAATATTGGGCGCCAAATCCAAAGTACTGTTTAGTGAAATAGCTCTATCTCGAAAACCGTTCGGATATGACACATGTAAATAGACATTTTTGCTTAGAATGACCGATACTGTGAACTCTCAGAATACCTCCTGGGATATCCTGTATATGTAATCTGTTGTAGCATTTGTTTTGAGCGAAATGAATGTAAGTATTTATTACCAAAGTGCCTATTTGAGATTTAAACATAATACTGCTCTTTACCATTTGTCTCTTTTAATTTTTGAGATTGAACCTCTCCATATGAACACTGTGCGTTGTTTCTTTACTCACTGCCAGTCTCTCACTAATTTTTTCGCATCCACATAGTGGTTAGCATTACAATCTGCTGCCTGATGGATCGGACACCAAGAATAATTGAATACCGTCTCCTACCTATGAAAAGATGATAAACATTATTTCGAATCTCTCTATCAGGAGATGTCCAATTAAATTTATTAATGTTACGGTGTGTGAATATTGCATATTTTACAGTCCGATGTTTGGATGTGACAAATTTTACTGCTCTGAGGCCATTATCATTACTAATTTCATGCAAAATCTCGTTCCCAGTTGTTGGTTTGAAAAAGTGTTCTCTACATACTTTGGGATTGAAACTTCCTAATAAAATTTTCGTGTGATATTTAGGGAATTTATGAAATACATGTTCTAGTTCTTAGAAGAAGCTATCCTACACATCATTATTTACATCCTCTGTTGGGGCGTGAACATTCATAACAACGATACCACAAAATCGACCTTTTAGTATTATATATGATATTCTAACACTAGCAAACTCTACCCTCTTACTTGCTGATATGATTCTCTTATGTACGAAAAAACCTGTACCTAATTCACGTTTCTAATTCCCCTTTCCATAGAAAAATGTATATTCGCCAGCTGATTCGGTACTACCCCGTCCCATGTCACCTTCTGTATCCCCACTAAATCTAACTTATATTTTTATTGTTCTTTCGCAACTTTCATGAGCGAACCCGCCCTATACTCACTTTTACATTCCACGTACGAAATCTCATGTCCGTTTTCCTTAACTCAGGCCGTTTATCCAAAGAATCCGTTCAAGTCCGAGGGTCGTCGTGACATTTCGCAGAAAGCTTATTTTGATACGGTGAGGAGTTCTTAGCCCCCGCCCAACCCCTAACCTGGAAGACCACCCCTTGTCGGCTGTCCGCGACTGCTTATTCAATATATTCACAGCTTCCCTCCAAAACTGGAGGCCGTCTCCTCCATCCGCAACCTGAGGACGCGCCATGTTGTGGTGACACGGGAAACACTTAACATGTTCTACGAAGACTCACATACTGAACTACGTAGAGAGAGAGAGAGACGGCATACAAAAAAAAATAATTCATCTTAAACATGGAGTGCGAACATGTAAATTGCTCAGACGACCCGAGTAAAATATTCTAACGTATACGATAAAGTAAAAATAAATAAAAATTATAGCAATCAATCTTTCAATATATTACGAAGTTCTCACCCACAAACGAGGGTAAAGGAAATTTTCGAAATGTCGCCTATACCAAAAATATTTCAGACAGTGAAGAATGCCAGATATAATATTCATACAGCAAACGCTCCTCACAGTAAGAAAACGTAACATTTAAATAATAATATCCACGTTTACTGCCAAATCCCTATTTTGCAAATAAAGTTCACATGCACTAACAAATTCTGAAATGTAATAATGTTAAGTGAAGTAAATTGATACAAATTATGCGAGAGAAACTGAGGCTTCCCTCCGTGAGGTTTGGATATCAGTTTTCCTGTTTCTTCAACAGCTAGACCACAAATAGGTAGGCTGTTGCAGTAATATATTTGTATAGTTTCAGTGTTGTGAGTGGGGAAAATCAATATGTATTTAAGAATCCCTGTTATGCAATGTGAGCCTGATTTGCCAGCCATGGGAAGAACCCATACTGTGGCTTTGGCAGGCAGGAACTGTGTGTTTCAAAACTGAGTAAATGTGTTTGCGTAACACAAACGCAAATATTATTTGCACACTGAGAGGTAGATTTTATTTTTACATTCTTGTAATAGTCTCACTCTAAATAAGTAAACGTTGTTATTCCAATTTATGCTTAAACTGGAGAAAAAGTCAGATGAAACTTAAAGGAGGTTCATGTACCTGAGTTCCCCATTCTTCAGCCTCTTTGTTTTTCCTTCATCGACCTCTTCTCTCTCGCTCTGTTAATGAGTGAATTATGTCATGCATTTATCCTTCATACCGTGCTGGGTGACTTCCTTCTCACAATAGCATGGCGCGTCCTCAAGCGACACTGAAAATAAATTGGGACACATCAGCTGCTAGTCTATGCTGATGACGTTAATATATTGGGACGTACCATAGATAAGATGATAAAAGAACTTGAACTGACGCTTGTAAGGGGGTTGATCTAGAAGTAAACTCAGATAAAGCCAAGTATAAGGCCGCGCCATAGCTCAAGCGGTTAGTCGCTGGCTTCCCACCGCGGTGACCCGGGTTCGATCCCGGGTCTGGTCAAGTGGGATCTGTGGTGGACAAAGTGGCGCTGGAGCGGGTTTTCTCCGAATACTTCGGTTTCCCCTGCCAGTCTTCATTCCACCAAATTCTCCACCATCATAATCACCCGGAGCAGGCTACAATAGGCCAACCAGTGGTCGCTGTGCCGAGTGGACCCGTTTGGACTCCACCCACCACTAAGCAAATTAAAAAAAAAATTGAAGAAAAAGCTAAGTATATGTTGGTGTCTTGTCACCAGAATGCAAGGCAAAATCATGACATGAAGGTACCTAACAGATCCTTTGAAGATATGGCGGAGTTTAAATAACTGGGAACGACAGCAATAAATAAAATTTGATTTAGGAGGAAATTAAGAGGAGAATTCATTCGGGTAACGCTTGCTAGCATTCAGTCCATAACATCTTGCCTTCTAGTCTGCTGTCTAAAACTTAAAAATTGAGATAAACAAAATTATAATATTGCCTGTGGTTCTGTATGGGTGTGAAACTTGATATTAGACGTTACGGGAGGGACATAGACTGAGGGTGTCTGAGAACAGGGTTCTGAGGAGAATATTTGGACTGAAGAGGGATGAAGTGATACGAGCTTGGAGAAAAGTGCTTAATGAGGAGCTTCATAACGTGTACTCTTTACCTAGTAAGATTATAATGGCCAAGTCAAAGCGGGTGAGACGGACAGGGTATGTAGCACGAATGGGAGCGAAGAAGAATGCATATAGGACATTGGTATGAATGCCACAAGGAAAGAGACTACTAGGAAGACCAACACGTATGGGCGTGAATAATATTAAAACGAACCTTAGAGAAATATGATAGGGTGGTATAGGCTGGACTGATCTGGCTCAGGATAGGGACTAGTGGAAGCCTCTTGTGAACACGGTAATGAACTTCCGGGTTTCATAAAATGTTGGGAATTTCTTGAGTAGCTGAGTGACTGATGGCTTCTCGAGAATGGCTCAATTCCGTGAAGTTAGATATTCTTCATGTGGTACAGTTTCAAACACAGAACTCTGCATGTACGTGAGAACGACATAACATGCAGACGTAGTCACACAACAAACGTCTCCTACTTCACGCACGCGCGCACACACATACACACACACGTAGTGTATGAAAGACATTTCCCTTGACGCAAAGACAACATCCTTATGCCTTCCCCTGTGTTTAGCACGGGACCAGACACCACAACTTGGCGCTCCTTGTGTTTCCCTATGGCATCATTTGTTTATGTTACAGTCCAGATGGGTCAGAAATAGTTATGAAAAAAAAGTTTTCGAGTTTATTTACAGCTTTGACCTAATTCTGGAAGAAATTCAGTCTACGATTTTAATACCAACTCCATATAACAGCGTCCTGCTTGGAACGCCAACAGTCGACAATACAGCAGAGAACTCTCATGCCTTGTAATGAGAGGTGGAAGTTATGTAACTGTTCACACAAGCTCGCCAAAGGAACTTATCTTCAACTACACATGGCCCCTGTCCACGATGTCACACCCTATTTATTTACCATTTCCTTTAAGCATAATGCCTTCATTTTGAAAAAAAAAATATATATATAAGTAGGCTTATGAGATCATCAAGTTGTGTACCTGTGTAACGTAAAAGATTAAGTTATCTCTGTAACACGCCTTGGAGGCCCATAGGATTGTGAGGCGTCGAGGATTCAATATTTTCTAAACAATCGGCTCACAGATGGCGGTTTGAGTTTGTCAGCCTTGCGCGCCCGCCGCCCTTTAGCCCCCAGGAGGATTCCTGGAACTCATTTCTGTTAGAGGCTGAGTCGACTGAAAAGATTAGGTAAATTGAATATATTCATTGATTTCATCAGGAGTCGAACCCGTGACCTTCCGGTTTGTAACATAATGCCTCAACCAACTACTCTACCGAGTACCTGTGTGTCCCCCTATTAATTTCTGAATGCCTGAACCAATCTTTATGAAACATGGTATGCATAGTATGACATCTCAGCCGTACAATTTATAAATCCCTCCCATCAGTCTGTGTGTCTGTATGTGTATGCCTCCTATTGTTTCTAGGCAATGGCTCGGTAAAGTGTATCCCTCCTTTCATTGCTAGACAGCGGCTCATGTAAACACGTTCCCGCGGCAACGAATACACTTGCAAGAATAGAAGAACAGGTGGACGCTTCATATTCTGTGCGTTCCGTATCGTATGAAAGAGAAGTATGTGATTAGTTCTTCCCAGAACTTCTTGTAATATTACCTCCTCATCAATGTTTGATTCTTTAAAGTGGCCTCATTAATTCAGACTTCCAAAATAAATTTTTGCATAAATTTTCAAGCTCTCCCATACGTGTTACGTGGAAACCCATGCACCTTATTTGAATACCATAATGGCATATGGTAACTAATACAATTTGAAAAGCTTGTTATTAAGCAGATGCCTCCACTATCGTCCTGAATTAATTTCATGGGAACTCTCTATACTGAGAACGTTATTTTTGTCCGTAAGCTTATTTACATAGTTTCGCAAATAAACCAACACCCATAGCTCGCATGATAAATACAGGGAGATCGAAAAGTCGCGCACATCACACTAAGCAATTATATTTTGCTAGCTGAACGCACAGTACCATCTAGCGGTAGGCGATATAATTATATTAACTGCAACTCTTATTTTGATGTGCACGACTTTTCGATCTCTCTGAATAAAACTACACGATATTAAGAAGACTCATGTAGTTGGATCATGCATATAGCTGTGCTGGTTAGACAAGAAATGCATACAGAATTTTGATAGGGAACCTTCATGGAATAAAAATAAGGAAAATCTTTGGTGCGAGAGTGAGTGAGTGGTAAGAATAAGAAGAAGGAGAGTGAGAAAAGTGTTGGAAAACGTATCTTTAGAGAACACTTGTCTTCAATTGCTGTTAGCTCACTAACAGACTCGAGAGAAGTCTCCTCTCGCCTCACTGAGCATACTCAGTTATGTAGGATTTGAGGTTCTCACAGCGGCGGCTATGAAGAGTTCTATCCTCTGGGATATAGCATCGTGTAGTCTGTTGAGAGTCAACCGACGTTTCGGAGGAACATATAGTCTCCTTCTTTGGGGTCAAAATATAAGCCAAGGAAGAAACCAAATTGAAAGCCTGCAACCTTCTTTCTCGCTGGTTTCTTGTTGGGATTATTCTGCAGCCCTGGATATGGAAACTTTATGTACACCCCAAAATTTCTGTTGACTTTCATTGGGGTACATAACGTTATATCCCAGAAGATAGTGCTCTTCATATCCAATTGTTTTGACAGTACTCTTGAGAAATTTGTCTCAATTAAAGAGTCCAGCCCAGTCGAGTGAAACTTGGGACCTGCCTCTGCAGCATGTTTTGTCAGTCGGGTCCGATTCGGTTAGTGTGGCTGCAAGCCTGATCGTTGCAAACTGCATGGCAAGAAGGAAACTGATTGATATATCACGTGCTTTGTCCCCCCCCCCGCCCGTTTGGTCATGAAATGGAACAACACACCAATTTACCTCGTTAGAGCAAATGACGAGATATTCATTGAGAAGGTGGAGACTTAATAAAGAGTATTCTTCTCTGTCATCCTCACCAGGATGTACTAGGCCACATGTTTCGACAAAGAGCTTTTGTCTTTCCACTGAAGAGATCTTGATGGTGCCTAATTAAGCTGTGGAGCTAACAAAAAGAAATAAAATTACTCACTCACTCACTCATGGAGCTGAGCCTTTCTTGAGAAGACGTCAATTGTGCAGTCATTCAAGAATTTCACAGCATTTTATGGAACCCGTGTTCACAAGAGCCCTCCACTGGCCCTTATCATGAGCCACATCAATCCAATCCATAACATCCCATCCCATCTCTCTTAGATCCATTTTAATATTATCCATCCACATATATATCGGCCTTCATAGTAGTCTTTTTCCTTCTGGTTTTCCCACCAATATCCTATACGCATTCCTCTTCACCCCATTCGTGTTGCATATACTGTCCATGTCATCCTCCTTGACTTGATCATTCTAATTTTACTTCGAGAAGAGTACAAGTTATGAAGCTTCTCATTATGCACTATTAGGTGGATCCCCTGTCACCACGGCATGCGGCGTGCTCAGGTTGCGGACGGAGGAGACGGCCTTCAGACATGGAGGGCAGCTGCGAATACACTAAATAATCAATCTAGGACAGCAGACAAGGGGTGGTCCTCCAGCTGGGGGATTGAAAGCTTGGTGGTTGGGCGTGTGGGTAAAAACTCCTCACCGTAAAGAACTTCTTACGATATATAACAAGAAGCCTCGGAAAAGCAACACAATTAATGTGAAAAAATAAAACTAATATAAACCCACTTCCAATAAATGGATACACAATAAAACTAAGGGTATATTTCAGCTAGACGAAAATATTTAATTTATGAAGAACAAAAAAAAATGTTTCCGAAATGTTTATTACTAAACGTTAGACCAAAATTTTACAACAATTCTTGCGGGTCTTAATTAACTCCTCAAAGCACAGTGGTTACTATGTACCACCATCTTTAACATTTATAAACTCTCCACTGTGCCTACACAACGTGCGTGTGGTTCATATTGTAACGTGTTTTGCGTTACTGATCCCACTTCTGACACCAGTGTAACGTGTCTCGAGATCGAATCCCGTTGGTCACGTGTTGAAGTTCAANATTAGATGCAATGTATTTTCTGCGACGTAAGAACTGAGTTTTTGTTAGCCTACTTTCTTATTTTGGAAAAATAAAATCAGGCTTATAAAATCACCTTACTGTCTGTGCATCCCCAAGTACCAATTG